TAAAGCATTCCACAGCTAGTCTTAAACATGTGGGGGCTTAATACACGAGACACTGAGGCGTTTTAATTAAAGGGGCTGTCTGTGAACTGCTCTAATTAAAACGCTCTCTCCTTCCGCCTACCCCTGAGCGCATGTATAGGCAGGTACGCCTCGAGTCTAGCAAGGGTTGGCCTGAGTAAAGACCTTGACAACTGCTGTGCTTGGGTAATGGCACTGATCTTGGCTAGGGGAAGACCATATGAGTGTAGCAAATGGAATTTCTGCAGGAAATTAGCCTAGGCTCTGGGACTTGCCTGCTTGTGGGACACCACTTGTGATAGTGGCATATTAATTAATTAGGCAAGTATTATTGAAGTGTGGTAATAACCTCGCCTTTTGATAGAGCTTTCCCATAGCAAGGGCTGTATGTACACTGAAAAACAGCAGTCTTTCAAATAATTCACTCCTGTTTCCTGAAAAGGAAGAGAAAGGGAGATGGTGTTCTTGTTTTCTTTTAGTATTTGGAATGCATTTGGATGACATGGTAGTCACAAGCATAAACAGTTTAGGAGAAATGGGGCAGAAATGAACCCAACACTTTATTTCCATGTGGGTCAGAACATAGAAGGTTGGTATCACTTTAGCAAACTCTAAACTTTAATTTTCTAAAAGGGATTTTAAATGCATTTCTTCTGAGTTTCATTTCTTCTGCTTTAGATGGATGAATTAATTTCCATGCTGCAATTGAAATAGCATTCTGTTCCTTACTAGTTTTAAACCAGGGAGGTAATATGTGCTAAATATTTTGAAGCTTTCTGGGCATGCAAGGAATTCTGATTTGTTGACTAAAGTATTAGTTATAGTTGATAGGTAGAGTAGTTCTTTGAGAGCAGAGAAGGAATGCTTTTACTTCTTAATAACTTGCTGGTTATTCATACTCACTGGATGTATCTATCTAATTTTTATGTTTTTTGACACCACTTGGGACAGTGGAATGTGATTTAATTGATTTAATTAGGTAAAATAAGAAGTTCATTCCACCAGGTTTTTTATATTTGAATGATGTTGCCTGTAACCAGAGTGAATTCTGTGCAACCATCTGATGTGGAGAGGCTGGGGGAACAAATGTCCCTTTAGAAGGGAGGAGGGAGATTTGGAGAGCAGGTGTCACATGTTTTTTTTGTGCCTACTTATTCACAAGAAAGTGAATCAATGGAAAATACAGATTTCTGTAAATAAAAGTATTTCCTATTTTTTGACTGGGATGGTTGGTCCCTGTATTTTTTACATACTTCTTGGTGGGTATACATCAATGAATCTCAGAAGCACCTCTTTCAAAGGGCATTCTTGAAACCTGGCTCAGCTGACATTTCGAACTAAAGGAATAGGGTGACTGACCCATACAGATCAGATAAACTGGAGTGAAGGAAGTGAACTCAAAACTATTTTTTTCCTTTCACCCCTGTAAGTTATGCTGTGTTGAATTTAGCAGGATAGACTTCAGATAATTTACTGCAATATTCTCATTGACATAGATACCTTGAATTCAGTGGGGTTGAGAACATGATCTAAACAAATACCTGTATATCATGGCACTATGAGGAAGTAAAGTATTATCTTAAACCTCTTTCTGCTTATTGCAGTGGCTTTTGATTGGAAAGTTTTTACTTTGGAAGTTGAATTTATCAGGTGATAATGTCACTGTCTTCCACACCAGTACCCTGGTGTATCTTTCCTTTTAAGCATCTCTGGTGGAGATCATCTGAGCAGAGCAGAACAGGTTGCTTACAGTATTCTGGTATAGTTTTGTTGAGCATTCCAACAAGGCAACGAATATTTCTTCTCAATTTTCTCTGTCCCCCACTGTTTTCTAACCAGGGATCCTGGTTTTCTCTGGTTAAAATAAAGTCCCAAATTTTCTGATTAAAAAAGTAAAATAAAAATAAATAAAACACTATATATATATATTAGTGTTTTATTTATTTTTATTTTACTTTTTTTATACATTTTATATATATATAAAAAAATTATAAAATTTATAAAAAAAAGTAAAATAAAAATAAATAAAACACTAATATATATGTGTGTGTGTGTGTGTGTGTGTGTATATAGTAGTTTCATTTTAATCAACCCAAAATCCACATTTTTCCGTGATTTAACACCCCCCCCCCCCCCGGGGGTTTTTCTTTTTATTCAAAACATCTTTCCATGAATAAAATTAAAAACTGCTAATATATATATAAGCAGTGTTTCATTTTAATCACAAAAAAATGTGGATTTTGAGTTGATTAAAATGAAACCACTATAGATATAGCTATATAGTGGTTTCATTTTATTTATTTATATATTAGTGGATTTTGGGTTACTTTTTTAAATAAAAAATTACAATTTTTTATCATAGAAAACCAGGATCCCTGCTTCTAACAGGTGAACTCCAGAAAATAATGGGCTGAAGAAAGAGATGTAAATCTGACACGTGAGATGGTTGTAGAACATCAGGCATACTGAAAACTAGACTCTTCTAAAGAAAATGGGATTCCGTTCCTCAGCACAATGACTGGAAATAATAGGATAGAGCTTTTAGTTGCAGTGGGGCTTTTATTTTACCTTGTAGCTGTCCCTGTGCTAGTTTGGGCAGGTAACGATGGGAGACATGGATGAAGAGAAGAGACAGTAAAGGAAAAGAATACTGCCTTTGTAGGAGCCAATAGGTGCCTGCCAGTTCCATGAGGAGCTCTCTGATAGGTAGTGGTTTCCATAGCTGTCCCAAGAGGATCAGGTTCAGTGCACCTGCTGTATTAATCTTATATTTTGGAATATCATCCCTAATAGACTTTGGGCTGGCCAGCACCTGCCCTCCTCATCAACTGCTAAGGCACTGCTGTCTTCAGCTTCCTTGAGCTAGGTTCTTAACGGAAACACAGGCAGCTGAATACTCATCCCCTTGTAATTCTTCAACACAGCTGTCTGCTCTATTTGGGGCTTACCAGTATGCATGCCTTTTATAGAGGAAGTGAAGGTGGGTTTGAAAAATCCCTGTGCTCAAGCATACATACTCAGATTAGGGTGTCTGTGCTTACAGGGTGACCCTACACTCTGTTCTAAATAATAGAGTGAGTGCAATACAAATCTCTATATGTAAATACTGATAGAAGTGTTTGGTATAGAAAAGGGCTGGAGAGAAGAAAACATAACAGTTGCCCTGTACAAGTCAGAAGTTTGTCTAGCATGCAGCAGATGATTGTGTTCCATTTATCTGGGCTGGGTTTGTGTTGATTAGGATATGTTGTTTAGCTTATATAAAGAAAAATCTTTTAAATCTTTTCTTTATTGACTGCCTCAGAATACAATGGATAACTTCTTTTTGCTTAATACTATTATTTGATTATTTCCCTTGCAAGGGGAATAACACATTGTGATTGAATTTCAACAAACATGTCTCAAACATTGCCTAGTTTTACTACAAGGTTTTTGGTACCAGCAGCTGCATAACAAAAACAAGTGGCAACATCCTTTAAAGAGGTATAGAAGATATTGTCTTCTGTAGCAACAGCACAGTTGAAGGGAGGAGGAGTCTTTTCTTCAGTGGGCAAAGAAAACACCTGTCACCAAAGCTGTGCTAAATCAGGACACTTGGCCCTTTCTAACCCTTATACCAAAGTATGTCTTACACTTTTAGTGCAGTCCTGTGAAGTGCATGACAGGAGCTGGCAGATAATGGTAGCAGAATATTTTAATGTCTGCCCTATGCTAGAACAAAATGAACCAAAACATCTTATTCTCTAAAGTGTTGACATGGTTGCTAAGTCCAGAATATATGGTTGTCCTCTTTGCTCCTTTTCCTTAGACAAGTAATTTCTGCATTTACAATCTTTTCTAAAAGCTACCTCTCTTCTTTCTTTTAGACTACACTTGCACACATCATAGCCAAAAACAGCAAGAAAAATGGCATAAGGTTTGTGACGTTATCAGCAACAAGTGCTAAGACAACTGATGTCAGAGAGGTCATCAACCAAGCCCAGAATGAAAAGAGGCTCTTCAAAAGGAAGACCATTCTCTTTATTGATGAAATTCACCGTTTCAATAAAGCTCAGCAGGTATTGTACCACTTGAGCAGCAGGGAAAAAACCTCTGTTACATGTCATTTTGCCTGAAGTGAACCTCTGTACAAAACAATGATGTTTCTCTTATCTGGTAGACCTCTCCCCACCAAGAGAAACCTTTTTCACAGTGATAATGTTGCATTGTTCTGCAACACAGCAGGCATACCTGTTTTCATTTTTTGTGTGTGTGTGGTGAGGAGAGAGAAATCATAAAATTGTTTAGGGATAATACATCATCACACACTGTGCTTTTTTCCTTCTTATGCATCATTTCCTTTATTCATGGAAGCTTTAATTATGTACTGCAGTTAGGAAATTTCAGACACGGAAAAGTTCTCCAGAAACGGATTGGCATGAAACCAGTTGAAGTATGCTTCTATATATTTGTTCTTAAAACCTGTAAAATATCTTAGAAACTGCTATTCTGTTTCTGTAGTTCCTTGAGCCTTTCTGTAGAATCTCTTACAATTCCAAAGCCTGGTACAAAGAATTACAGAATTAACCTTACCGTTCGTTAGATTCTTTTGAACTTTTCCATTTGGGCAGTTCTTCACAGTACCTGCTATCTGCCAAAGAATAACCTACAGTCACATGAGTAAACCGCAATAACCTGCCCTTTCCCAATGCTGTTGTTTTCAGCAGTGTGTTCATTTTTGGTGAAAACACAAGTTATTAAAAAGATCAACCACACATGTACAGTGTGAATGAAATGAATTCACTCAGGAAGCTGGTAGCTGAGCTGCCTTATTAGTGAGTCATGGGGTGTATCACCTGGAAATCTGGAGAACTGCAACACATGAAAAATATACTTGAAAATGCCATATAACCATATTCCATATAACCTACTTACCCAGTATTCTTCAGGTTGTCACTGCCTGGGGTCACTTTCTTTTGTTTGCCTCCCATATTCAGGACACTTTTCTTCCTCACGTTGAGTGCGGAACTGTGACGCTGATTGGGGCAACCACAGAAAACCCTTCCTTCCAGGTGAATTCTGCTCTTCTGAGTCGATGTCGTGTTATTGTTCTTGAGAAGATCTCAGTGGAGGCGATGGAAGCAATTCTGATGCGGGCTGTCAGGTCCCTGGGGATCCAGGTTGTACGCCAGGATGAACAACACACTGACTCTGCAAGTGGCAATGATAGCAAGAACTCTGAGTAAGTACTTGAGGGACTGCAGTGTGTTAACACTGACAACCCGAAGGAACTGTTGACAGACTGCTTGAGGGAGAAAGTGTTGTGGGGGTGGGGAAAAATATTAGCCACTTCTAATGGTAAAGAACAGAAGTAGCTGCATAGGAAGAGAGGGAATACAAAGCATCAATTGCTGGTGCATTCAAAAAATTATCCTGCTGTCTGGATTAGGACAGTGTTTTATACTTGGATTGGTAGCTTCTGACTCATCCATAGGATATGTAAATCTGTTATGCAGCTGAAGATTTGCTTTGGAAGCCTGTTCTAGCCAATAACTTTTTGTTATTGGTTGTGAAAGCATCATATTACTGTGAAATGGTGGATAGGACATCCCTGTTACTTATCTTAGGTCCACCAAGCAAAAAAAAGGCTGTAACCTTATACTGCAAATTAACTCCATGCCACGGAATTTTTTTTCTTTTACTGTGTGAAGCAAATAACATATTAAAAAATAGTTCATGAATCCCTCTTCTAATTGTCAAAATTAAGCCAATTGAAATAAAAGCACACAAAAGTATTTTAGAGAACTTGGAAAAACTACTGTGGAATTTCCCTCTGGATTTCATATTTATTATAATATTTTCCTGTCTCTTCCCCACAATCAAAGTTATTTTCTATTTATCATTTTTTAAATGGGCAACTAATGAATCAAAATAATACACAATGTAGCTTTAATTTCATGTGGGTTATTTCAGTTGCTTTCCCAGTAGTTCTTGCATATCAAAATTAAAATCCGTCATATAAAATGAGTGACGGTACAGGAGTACCAGTTTAAGCGCTGAGCAAGAAATACCACTAGGGAATGCATTTTGTCTTGTAGTTTTATCACACAACATGAAATTCCTAACTAGATTGTACATGTTAGGGCACTGAATGAGGGGCTTCTGTTACCTTATTTAGGGCATCATGCCTGACATTGCTTACCCGCTTGCAGCTTTTATACTGCACTGGGATATGTTGGAGGAAGGCACTGCTGCATGTCAGTGTTAATGTAATAGCGCAGCTGTGTTTGCAGCTACACCCCGACTGGGCTTCCAACACTCTCCTTTTTGTATGGGATTAAAGTACAAGGCATAGTTGTATTTTCTAGGGAGAGTCAAGCGAAACATAAGCCCTTTCTGTAACCTTCCACTAGTCAGGGATGATTTAAGTAGCAAAACGTGTTGCTTAATCAAAGAGTTAAAAGAAGTCTGGCAAACACTGTCTGACTATTTCAGTGCCAGAATTCTCTCAGTAATGGAAAAAAATGAGACCTGATGTTTTAAAAGTACAGATAAAAATCAAGCTTTGAAAAGGTTTTTCCCTTTCTTTTGTTTCCTGCCATAGTCTGCTTGTCATCTGCTATTGACAAATATTGGGGGTGGTGGTGGTGGTTAAAAAAACTTTTTTTATCCACTTCCCTTCAGTCCATATTGTCCCTTACATCTGGTTTGGTTTTCTGTGTTCCAAGCAAATCCTTCTTTCCTCGTTCCTCCCACTCCAGCCGCTTTCATCTTATTTCTGCCTGTCATTCTCCTCCATCAGCAATCGCAGCAGTCTTCTTTTCCTTCCCACTGCAAAAATACAGCTAGGATTAGATTCAACCACCTGATAGTTCCTCATGATCTTCTGGGGAATAAATGCACAGGCCTCAATAGCTTTAGGTACAGTCGCAGGGGATTCAGGGTTCCATTTCTTTTGTTTTCTTTTCTTTGAAGGAGAATTCCCCATTTCAATGTATGGGACACTGCATTAACAAATGTGTGTACTGTTTGGTCTCATTTCATTAGATACTCTTGATATAATGCACAGTGTTCCTTTTGGACACTAAGGCCACATGCATGGACATTTATTTCCCTGGGGAAAAGAAGCAGCGGCACACCTAATAGCTTTGCTACTTGTCCCCGGGGAACACCTGTGCCACGTGCCCTCTGGCATGTGGCAGGTTACCCTAGGTGGGGTAGGGGAGGCTGAGGCCAGCACTGAGGAGGCCCTGGCAGCCATACCTGGGGTCCTGGGGCTGCAGCAGCAATCCTGGTGTTCAGAACCTGGATGAGCTCAGAGCTGACCAGGCTCTGGTTTTGGGTAGCACATGTTGTCCCGGTGTGTGCTACCCCACTTTTTTTTTTTTTTGGCACAGGTTTTTTTGAACCCAGGATCTCCTGGGGTCAACTCCTCCCACCCCATGCTGCTACCTTGCAGCACAGAGAACACCGCATACCGCACAGCCGTGCTCGTCTGGGCATGGCCTAAGAGAATGTCCTCTCTGCAGACACAATGAAGACTAGATCCTCAGTTGGTGAAAATCTCCTTTAGTTTCCCAAGCAATGTTATGCTATGGATGGACTCAACCTTCACCTACGTGGTGCTGGTTTTTATAGTCTATAATAATTGTGTTGATTAAACCTTTTTTCCTTTGGTCTCAAGCCTTGTGTGTCATTTTAGAAAGCTTATTGAAATATATCCTCCAACTCTTCTGCAGACACAGGAGTTGAGGTTCAAATGTATTGTAACATAGTCAAAGCTCCCTGTTTTGCCTTTCCATGTTTTATAGAGGACTAATTTAGTCCTAGAGAAATGTGTGCTTAAAAATCGATGTTATGATATGGCTCCCTATTGAGAAGGGAGTCTAAGCTGGTGCCACTTGTTCAGGGTTTGAAAAACGTATTCAATTACACATTAAGGACTATTTATGCCCTAGTGTTCGTTGATTCTTTTTTTACTATTATTTCCTCCTCCAGCTCTCCTGCATATAGTTTACATTCACTTAGACTCCTCACACCTGCCGTGTTTCTTTCACCATTTGATGTACCCCTCAGAATTTAGCTTGACAGCAGTTTTGAGTAATACCATATTTACTCAAAGTTTTTTCTCCCTATTCTACATGGCGGGGGGGAGGGGGTGCAGCTTCTCTTGGATTTGAATACGAGGTGAGGGCAGGCAGCTGCTGTGGCTCCGACTGCAGCCCTGGCCCAGGCTCATGGTTGGAGCCAGGGTCGCAGCCTTCTGGCCTCCTGGTGCCTGCTTCCGAAGCTTTCAACCCTCCATAGCCTCTTCCCCCTGACTGCTATGTGTTAGGGCTTGGATCTGACCCAGGGCATGGGACACGTGGCTCCAGGTCTGGTCCTGGCCCAGCAGTAGCAGCAGGGGAAACAAGTGTGTGTGTTTGGGAGGGAGTAGAAGGCCCACTGCCCCCACCGCCTGCCCCCCTGCCACTGCTTTCTCCACTGGAGCAGTGGGAAGGATGAATTTAAGATGACCCTGCAATAATTATGTTGTATACATGGAAAATTATAACAAATTTGTCACTTTCCATGTGTAGAATCTAATTATTGGGAGGTTGTCTGAAATTCAAAGTTATCTTGGATTTGGATCAATACAGGAGCTCATGCTGGGATTTAAATGGGTTCTGTGATGGAAATATTGTCATGGCTTCGCATTTGTAAAAACAATTGCCCTCTGGCTGTAGTTTTCCTTCACTTCAGTCAGTATACCACATTGATATTCAGTGGGTAATAGATTTCATGGTATCTGTTCCTTTTGTTTATATTTTGTCTCCCAAGTATCTCTGGGTGCAGAACATCCATTATGTCCTGTGTTTAATGTTGGAAACAACCAAAATACTAAATGAGCATGAACTTGCTGATGCATCAAAAAAGAAGAGTGGTATTCCTGTCTTGAAGCCCTGAAGGCAGGTAGAATAAGAGTAATAGTCTAAAGGTTAAGAATGGATCCAAACTTATGAATGTCAGATAGGATCTTGCTTGCTGAAACAAAGTTAGCAAATGCATTATAAATGAAACTATAATTTGGTGTCCCTGGTTTACTGCTAAAGTATTCTCTTAAATACAGTATAAATTCTTAAAACATAAAAAACCAAAAGATGCGCTTCCCGAATTAACATTTTTCCACCAGGAAGCATGTTCTTTTTATATTGAGGTTTTGTGTGTGAATGTGTACTTGAAAAGATTGACTGTCCTGTATCATAAACAGGACTTTTCCATGCACAGTACCTTCTTCACTTATGTCTGTTTTATCTCGGGTTTTGTATGCAATAATAGTATTTTTTAAAAATAAACGTGGATTTTAAAAAAGTTTTTAAGCATATCTGGGGAAGAATAGTGTATATATTTCTAATTTTTTATGTGCACACCTTTTTGAAGCTCTTTTCCCTTACTTCCTTGCCTATGCTCTTAGTGCCCTGTTTTAAAATCTTGTTAATGGCTTCTGAAATACTTTTTCCTGAAAATAGAGAGAACACTGCCCCTGGGTTACTTTTGGGATTTACCAGTGAACCATACATAATTTTGCAATGGACTGGGTGAACTTAATTATTAGTAAGCTCTTTGAAATGGTGATTATTTGATCTTTCCAAGTAAAATAGCAAATGTCATTAGCTCATAATAAACAATAATGGAGGTGAAGTAAGAACTTGACTTACAGTAGAGTTTGAATTTGCAGAAGTTCCATTTGAAATTTTGGAATTTAAAGTGACTGTTGGGTCAACTTTGGCATAATGTTGCTTTTAATGTAAATAATGCTACTGAAAACCTATAAAGCTGCATTGATTTCAAAACACTATACAAAGAAAAACAAGGATTATTATTTCTGTTATTACAATAGAGCAAGTATAATCACTTATTTCATAAAGTGAGGTGCAAAGCAGTTAAGTTCCATGCCATGAGTCAGCAGCAAACAAAAGGTATAATTCAGCTCTGTTGTTGTGTTATGTATTTATTTAGCTGTTACAACTTCAATAAGCTCTGTAGGTTTCAACCAGGTTAAGGTCTGATTGAAATTGGCTCTTAACAAACATAGTAAATGGGGATCTGCTGTCTTTACCAGCTCATTTGAGTCCTAATTGTGTGTCTGGGCCACTGGATACAAGGTGAGATTTAACTAGCATTGGCAGAATAAGAAGCCTGAAGTACTTCCTGCACTTTTTAAAAAATCAAGCTAAGTGCCTAGTCCTTAGGATCTCATCTGTGAATCCTCTTCACTCATCTTCCAGACTGGAAGTCCAAAGCGTTTCGTTTTTCAAATATCCAGCATGATTTGCCCCTGCTCTCCAGTGATATAAACAGTTGTGGTATCATAAGTGCCTGCACTGACTGCAGTGCTTTAAAAATATCCTTTTATCCAGATACAACCAATTGGGCATTTACTGGTTTGTTTCAAAACTCATAACAAATACCAGTGACCAACTGTAGCACTGAAGGATGAATCTTGATACTTGCTTTTAGAGAGACGGATGTACATGTACAGTGAGTGTACTGTACATACAGCTGCCTCTCATCTACGCTGTTGGAACCTTCTCTTAGAAAAGCTAGGTATCTATGTGATAGTTATGCCATTCCTGACTGTCACAAATACCTGTGAGGGAAGAGGATGTCCCTTGACAGGAAAATGTAATGGCTATTCTGCGTAAAGGGTATGGAGCCTGCAGAGTATGTGGTGTGCCTTTGTGGTGTGCCCAAGATGTGGCCCTGTGGGGTTCTTTTTATACCAGCAATTTCTAGTCTTCGCAGGTCTAAACCCACTTCTGATCAGCTTGTAAGCCCTGGAAATGTGGTTACTGGGCTCATGACCTCACTTGGGATCATGGCCCTTGGTTTGGGAACCTGCATTAAAAAACTGTTTCAAGAGTATGAACAGGTAGGAGAATACACAGATTGACTAGTCTCTGTTGCTAACATTCCTCCTCATTTGGGAGCAGGAAAGTTCCTAAGCTTCACACTGCATCCTTGAGGCATTTGCAGCACCTGTTTAGTGTTGTCTTACGTATTGAATACAAATTCCTCATGAAAGAAAGGAAAATTGAAGCAGAGGGTATACATGTGCTGTCACTTCAGCAAAAAAAATGTGCCTCCTGTATGAGACCAAACAGCATGCGTTGAGTATGAAAGACAACAACAAAAAATGTTTATGGGTCTAGTGTTGGCATTCTGCACTGCTGTTGGCTAGCTGAGGACAAAATAGATTACTGCTGCTAGTGTACCTGTAATTTCAGAGCTACTCACAGCTGCTGCACTCTTAACTAAAATTATTTATCACAACCCCAATAAAGAACCACACCAAATAATAAAGATTAGTAGATTAGTGTGTCTAGAAATTCTGGTGTTGATGGCTAGCTTCTTTGTACACTATTAATGATGATAGCAATAAATCTTCCAGTAAACGGTATAGAGCTGTGAGTAAATCCTGAATTATCTAGAGCACTGGGATGTCCAGTAAGAATGTCTTACTTCTATCTTCACACATTGATTCCCAGTTAAGGGATGTAACTGCTGAATTTTTTCAGTCCAGGGTGGTAATGGCATAGCTATATTGTATATGCTGCCTTTCTAACTATAGTAGCTTCTGCCTATTGAAATAAATTGGGTATATCCTCCATCTGTTAATCTCTGGTCTACATAATTAAAATCTGAGGATCAAATTAACAACAGTATGTAAACATCAGTATCCAGTAAGTGGGAGGCAGTATGAACAGGGCACTAGATGAAGAGTTGAGAGATCTGGGTTGTATTCTCAACCTTGCCACTGACCTACTGTGTGGCCTTGGGCAGGTCACTTTATTTCTTGGTGCATCCCTTTCTCCTCCTGTTCTTTTTTGTCTTGTTTCTGTAGATTATGAGCTTTTCTGTGCCTGGAATTTCTCTCTCAATGTACTTAGTGTGAGTGCAGCATGACACTGTGTACCATAACTTGTATGCATTTTAATGGCTTTCCTCCCCTTATCTTAGTTTTATTCGTACACTTGTGGCTCTGAGTCGCATAGCTCATTAAGCTCTTTTATGTTGTCTAAGATACTTACCCACAATGAAGCAAACTTTAAATTCTTTGAAAAATGTCCTAAGTACTAGGGCCGTGCTAAACACCATTGTTTCATCTCGATATTCGTTTTGCCGTTTCGAAGGGACAGTGTTTCATTTTGTTTTGTTTCAAAGCACTGTTCCGTTTTGTTTCATTGAAGCAGTTTCGCTGTTTCAATGCGTTTCGACGTTTCACCCGTAGGCTATAATGGGGAATCATGAAAATATCTAAAACGTTGTCATTTCTTGCCTGATTCGGATGAGAATTGCAGGGATGGTAGCTTGTTCCGAGGGCATGAAGCCTGCCAGATTTCAAGGAGATGGGTGCAGAAGGTTCTGGGAAACTGCACCTCAAACTGTTCAAAGGAAAACTGACACTTGCTGGCAGTGACAGCTTCCTCTCATCCAACGCGCAGATCTGGGGGCTTGCACCCCTGGGAGGGTTGCAGGGCTCCTCCTGGGGGTGAGAGCCCCCAGGTCTGCATGCCAGATGACAGGAGGCTGCCCTGCCACCTAGGACATGCCCAGCATTGGGGAAGATTCATGCTGCTGCTGGTCCCATGGGCCAGAGACAGCCTTGTCTCATCTGGTGCACAAATCTGGGGGCGGGAGGTGATGAAAGCCAGGGCTGCACTCCCTGCCAGGTTGAGCTCCATGGGGCTACGGAGCCGCTCAGAGTGCAGCCCTGGCTCTCCCGTGCCTACCGCCACTGGGCTGCTTTGAAACTTGAAACATTTCAAAATGTTTCAAGTGTCCTCATTTCATTTTGAAGCTGTTTTAAAGCTTTTTATTTTGTTTCAATTTCGCTGTTTCAAGCTCAAAACGCTTCGAAACAGCTTCAGAATGAAACATTTGGTGAAATTTCGCACAGCCGTACTATCTGCGGCCACCTTGTGGCAGTTCCCTTTGTTGACAATAGTTTCAAAGTTTATATTCATTACATAATACATCTTACTTTGGCAGTTACATTTCATACATGCCTTCCATCTAAGGATCTTAAAATGTTTTATTAAATTTTGATTGAGTAAAGTCCTTTGATGCCTCTTAATACTCCTATGAGGTAGATAGAATAAGTCTTAAATGCATCCTAAACTTCTATTAAATTGTTCCAACTGATTTTAAAAAACAAGGAAGTTAAGGGATAGCTGAAAACTCCCTGTTCAGTTTGAACATGTGCCATTGTACTTAGGTGCTGCATGCACGTAGCACATAGGTCACATACTGTTCACCAGGTCCCTCCAAAACTTAAACAGAATGTCATGAGTTAAAGATAAACCTTAAATCCAGCTGCTTCTGCATGAACCCTGTACAGAAATGTTACTTTGCTTCATGGTGTATTATTATGCACAAGTGCAATCTGAAAAGGGAAATGATGTGGAATGATTGTGTTGCAGGTCCCCAGTGTGCATAGAGGAGAAAGCTCTCCATACTCTTGCCTACCTCTGTGATGGTGATGCAAGGACTGGATTGAATGGACTCCAGCTGGCTGTTCAGGCCAGATTAACTGCAGGAAAAAGCTCTCATCAAAATAGTATGCACAAGTATCCTGCAGATACAGTTCTTATAACAGAAGAGCATGTGAAGGAAGGACTACAACGGTCTCATATCCTTTATGACCGAGCAGGTGAGCATGTAAATTAGCAGCTCTCAAGGTAGTGCTATCCAGCAAGAACTACATAATTTAATAACTGAAGGTTACATCATTTAATACAAATATGAATGACACGTTAATATGAATGATTTGTTTTAGCTGGTTTGGGTTTAAAAATGAGTCTTGAAGAGTTTTTTTTTTTTTACCTTTAGAGAGGGTCTGGATTCATTTCCCCACCAAAAAGGCCATCAGTGGCATCCCTAGCTACATCTTCAGTCAAACAGGCTCATCTCCCAGCTTTTTTTACGCTATAACTACTGGCTCCCACAAATGAGAATCAAATTGAGGTGTTTTGGGTTTTTTTTCTTCTCTCTTTCACAGCTCTTTGAGTAAAGTGTATTTTTGGGACAATTCAGAATAGATTTTTATGAGATTATGTTGGTTTACACTCAAGCTACCCACGGTGGAGAATATTGTCACTGACCTTCAACTTCTGTGACAGAAATCTCTTCTCTATCTAGAGCCAGTAGGAAGCTATTTAAACCCGAAATGGTGATAGATGTGTGGCCATAGTTGACAGTCGATGCTGTCATTCACTTGAGGCATTCCAAAATGGTCTGATTCTGTAGATGTTGTTTCAAATTATGAGGATCATGTAAGTAGGGAGTAGCTTGCATATACTCACATCTGTCACAGAGCATGCTTCCCCTTTCAGATGAATTGTTTAGACTTGTGCTGCTGTTTATTAACCTTATTTTTTTAAATGTCTCCTGATTTCTCAAAAGCACATCATGTGTAATAAATCAGCATGCTGTTCTCAGCAGGGAGCAGCAGTACATGCCTTCAGGAAAATAAAAGCCTTTAGGTCACTATCTGCTGTGGAAGTTAGTAGGTTGGGTAGAAACCACAATCTGTGAAACACGTGCTCAGAATCCTACCCTGGTTCCTGAGCACTGGCTTCAGAAGGCCACCAGGATTTAAGCGTTTCCAGTGTGCGTGACAGTCTTCTTCCTTCTTTTCTAGTTCTTCCCTGAGCCCTGGAGAAACAGCCTCTTGGGTGAGAGATACAATGTAAGGCCTAATAGATTCAACTTGAAATGCAGATAGCAGGTAGTTGTAGTCCAGACAAGGTCTGCTTCTCATGTGAGCTGCTATGGAAGAACCCTGCTATCTTTACCAAAGAAATCTGTGGGTGAGGACAGGTGGAGGGTGGCTGCTTACTGAATAGGTTGTAAGATCTTGAGGGTGGAATGGTGGCGTTAAGTAGATGGGGTGGGGGGAATAGTAAATGCCGCATGTCCCTGGGAAGTACATCAGTTAAATACATTACTTAACTTTCAGCTTTAAATAGTTCATCTTGAATGTATTGTTCCAGGGCTTTGCTTTGGCTAGGATGATACTTTCTAAAGAACCAGTATACCTTTTTAAAGTTATACAGACATTTTAATACACAATACAGAAAATAGACGCTCTGAAGTGGTATTGTCCCCTTTAACGTAACAAGACTACTTTCTCTTACAGCACTAGTAAATTTCTTTATCTTTAATGCCGACCGTGCCAACCTTTTATACACCAAGATGCCCTGGAACTTTTTTCCCCTCTAGCTAGGATCCCTCTCATATTTAGCAGTATAGGGAGAGAAAGCGTGTCTAATGAGATGAGAAGCATACTTTAGAGCAGTGCAGTACCTCTTTAACATATTGAACTAGTTGGACTCTACAGTTTGTATTTTATTGTAATTATTATGGAGGATTAAAAATGTCTGACCTGGAATCCAGAAATGACATTGTGAATCAATGTTGGATCTCTTATTTTCCAGTAAACAATAGTTAATTTTGGCCAGTACACAGGTCATTAGATACTCTCAGATGTGGTGGAAAAAATATTTAGCACTTCACTTTGTTGTGGTTTTGAAAATATGTATGTATAGTTTCATTTTGGGGGAAGTTGGAAATCTTCAGTGGTGTTCTCATTTTGTTTGGAAGTCCCAAAGCTCTCAAACAAAATACTGGTTAAAGGATCTGAACAGTTCACTTTATTTTTAGAATTTCTTTATAAGGTAATGCATTTTGTAGTTTACACATATACAACTTGACATACATAATGGTGTGAAGGGATTTCTAATTTGATACCTGCTCTTACTAAATTCATGACTTTGCACCATTGTGTGTCACAAACACTGTCCATTTGTACCATTCTATGCAGTAGTGATGGGAATTACAGATTTAATATTAAGGATTACTTGAGTTTCCTTGTGTTTATATGCTAGAGCTTTGGTAATAGTTGAGTGACTGTGAATCTTAGCCTCTAATGATTAAGCTAAGAAATGTTTGGAAAATGGGTTGACTTAATTTTCCAGAGATCAAATATGCTGGATTATCTTTAATTATGTCACTACTTGAAACCGTGATGAGAGATTTGTAGGGTTTATTTTTAAATTTTATATGATGCTTTCAAGTTTCCTGTTACAAATGAAGAGAAAATGCTGGCCATGAAAGCAATTTTTGGGCAAAGGTCACCCAACCCAGCAGCTCTGATTGAAAAAGGAGGGAGGCAAAAGATACAGGACAGGAGACAAAAAAATAGTAATGAATTGAGTTGGAGATAGACAAGAATTTGTAGCTGTGACTAGGGAAATGTCAGAATTCACTTGTTAGGCTCAGTGTTACATCCAGTTTCTCCACCTTTTGTCAGTTTGTTCTTTCTTTGTGGCCCGATACTCTGAAATTCCGAACATCTCAGGTCCCGCCTATACACATAAATTCCAGTCCTATGTCTGATTTGTCTTCTTGGAAGGCATCCATTGCCATAGCATGCCTCTCTCTCAACGACTGGTTCAAATATAGACAGCTTAACTATTTCCTTATTCTAAGTTCATATATGCTCAGATTCATGCCATTTACCTGGTTGACTTTTTTGGATGTGGATTTGCACTATGAAAATCTTGTCTCCACTAGGTGTACCTTGGATTATACTTCTTCTAAAATGTACTTTCTCCCTATCTGGCTGGAATAATCTAGTTGGGGATAGTCCTGCTTTGATCAAGGGGTTGTACTAGATGACCTCCTGAGGTCCTTTCTAACCCTAATTTTCTATGATTCTATCCCATGAAGTGTCTTGTATTCTGTTTGATTGAGTGCGGGGACCCACAAACAAATCAGAAGGGTTAAACACATTTAAAGAGTTAAAAAGGGTGGGGCCTTGCTGTACTTCAGCTGCTCCATGGTAAGTATTTTGTGTATGTGGTCATCTGATTTTTTTTTTTTTTTTTTTTTTTTTTTTTTTATGTACTATTAATGTTGATTTAACTGAAAAGATATCAAAGATAAAACATAAGGAAACCCTAGCTTGGGTTAATGCATTTTCAGTCTCTGAATTCATTTAGTCTGAGATATGGTTGTTACCTTAGAAATATTCTCAAATTATTAAATTCTTTCATACTTCATGAAGAAGCAGAGTCCATGAATGCATGGTTGTTTAGAAACAGGTTTTACATTCTTTCTTTCAATTAAGTTCAAGATGAAAAAAATCTCGTCAGCCCTGTTGTTCTGTTTTTTTTTCTGTTTGCTGTCCATCCCTTATCTGTAGGCTGACAAGCTTTTCCTTTGATTCAAAAGGGCAGGGACTGTCCTTTTGGATTGTTGTATGGTGCTTAGCATTATGGAAAACTCTGATATGAGTCAAAGCTCAATACATTTGAATAATAATGCGTAGGTATACATTTGAATAATAAGGTGTGGGTGGGTATGAGGTTTGTGGGGGCAGTGGGGTGTGCGGAGAGGGAGGGTGGCTAGAGGGGTGTCGGGGGGGTGGTATGGGTACATGTGTGGTATTAGGTGGGTGTGGGGGAGAGTGGATGCATGTGTATAGTGGGGTGTGCCTGTGGGACCCCCTTTACAAAACATGCCCCGCCATCATTGCACGTTGCCTTGGCTGCCAGCAGCAACAACAGGCGGTGGAATCTCAGGGTGCTCACAGCCCACGACAGGTGGAGCCCCGCAGCAGTGCATGGTCCTGGCAAGCCCCAGGACTGCATGTGGTAGGCCCGCTGGTTCCATTGCATGGATCTCCTGTGCCCGAGACCTGCGCTGCCAGGGGAAGCCCCACACGATGAAGCTGGTGGTCCAGGTCATGGGGCTCATCCAGGGCGGCAGGGAGAGGGCCAGAGCTATTCCAGCTGTAGTGCAGGGCTCCCCACCATTTTCCTATGACCCATGTGTGGTGGTGAGTAGGGCCGGGTCACCAGCTTCACCAGCTCTCACCCAGCTGCTGCCACTCCTCCGTCTGCCACCGCTGCCACCCTTCCCTGCAGCTTCCCTATTTCCCTCCTGACTGCCCACTGCTGCTGCTGCTTCCTGCCTACCACTGCTGCCACTCCCTCTACCCCCTGCCAGGCGCCACTTTCCTACCTGCGGGACCAGGGTCAGCGCTATCCTGTAAGCAAGAGTGGGAATGCAGTGTGCTCTACCTCCACGGAAGCGAGCAGGGCTTGGCGCCATGCAAGCACAGCTGGTGCAGCCTGGGGCTGGATCAGATGCAGTGAATTTGGTAGGCACCAGCCCGCAGATTAAATTGCTTGGCAGGCCAGATCCAGCCGATGGGCCATATTTTGCTTGCCCCTGGCTTAGATAGTGTCCAAACTGTTAAAAAAAAAAAAATGTGGGTTGTAGGGTGGTTCATGGTGGCCAGTCGAATCGAATTTTTTGAGATACGGAATGACAAAAGTAACTTTATGGGGAAGGAAATGGAGAATTATATATGTGTGTGCGCGCGCGTGCGCATAATTATATAATTTCCTTCTTATTTTAAAATGCAGTCTCCTGCTCTGTGGTATGTATATTTAAGTGTTTCTGGGTATGTCTACACATTCATTAATGTGCAGTGTCTACTGAGCATTAAATTTAGTACTTGCAAAAGGAATTATTAAATAAGTGCGCAGTAGGCTGCCCTAATGCCAGTTAGTATGATCACATGCTTTTTTGTGATGGTTAATGTGCAGTAGACTAATACTACTGTACATTAGTATAATAGTATAGTTTAGGGGATTTAGATGCCTAAATGGCACATGAAAGCACTTGACCAGGGGGAAAAAGGGCAAGTGTGTCCCCATTGAAGTCATTACCCAGCCAATATATGCGCATCAATTTTTTTATAAGCCCTTCCAGTTTCTACATATTTAAAGGCCTTCCTTCCTTTTAAGATACCATGAGCTGTCTCTTCCAAAAGCATGATGTAGGTTCAGCTGCTTAAGTTTCTACATACCAGCTGAAGTTGAAAGCTTGAGTGCTATGGCAGGGCATAGACGCACTGTTTATGCTGGCATGATAATGACTGCATATCAGTGGGCTCTTTGTGTGGACTACTATTAAAAATAGATGTCTGCATTCTTGTATGTTTCAAAAGACCCACACTTGTGAGCCTAAAATCTGGAAAGAATAAAATATATGATAATTATAACAACCAAAGACTTGGGTCCCAATCTTGTTGCCATTGATGTCCCTAAGAGGCGATGAGTCAGCATTTATCAGATCAGATAAGTGGGCGTTTATACGCATACATTTGTCTGTTCCAAAACGCCAGAGATCCTGTGCATCAGAGCAGACTTGATTAATCAAGTCTGTTCTGCCCGCAAGCTGACGCGCCTGGTGCTGCATTGCATGCATTTGTATAAATGGCGAAATGTGCGTCAGCGCTGAGAAAATGGCAGTGGTGTGCTTTTGAACTTTTTTACACCTTTGATATGTTTTAGTTTGGAAGTGTGCTTCTGCTGTTTTCTCAGTGCTGATGCACATTTTTCCATTTATGCAAATACATGCATCGGAGTGCTGGGTGCTTTTAAAAGCATCACGCTGCGGTGCAAACGTGTACAAATCCCCAGTGGTAATAGTTTTGGGCTGTAGTTCTCAAGTTAATGTGCACAGTTTTTATTATGCAGTGCCTAGCAGTTTTAATGACATGTTCTGATATATTTGTAAATCTTTTTGTAGGAGGAAAAGAAATGTAACAGATAACCATGTATGCAGTCAGTTGCCTTACTAGTGCACTTTATATTTATGGCATCTAGAGCCAAAGCATACTAGGCATTTGGGTGGGAGGGATAAAATGCAGATAATGAGGAATGTTGAAACCAATACAATTAAGCAAAAGCCTCTCCTAAGCTTACATATAGATATAACAATTGAAATCAAAATACAGGGTCACGGGGGGAAAAATGCATATATAAACTATCTCTTTTCCTTTCTTTTCCATAGTCTCATTTGCATTGCAAGAAACTCTTGTTCCTCCTGTGTGCCCCCACTGAAGTCATTAGCCAGCCAATGTATACATATCAAATTTCAATCATAAGTCCTTCCAGTCCCTTACTTAATCGCATTGTTTTATTCCTCTGAGCTCCTGTCAGCTTGTCTGAGTCTTTCTGGCAATGCAAACGCCTGCTGCTGAGTATAGAATTTCACGCAGTTGTACAAGGCTGCATATACCAATTGTTTCCTCCAGGCCATGTAATACATATACTACATCTGTTTATTCACTGAAAAGATAAGTTGGTTTGATTTATTTATTTATTTATTTATTTATTTATTTAGACATAAAACACTGCAAGCTCATATCTGACATACTGTCCACTGTCTTGTATAAGTTTCTTTCTATACATCTCCAGGTTTCCCGGGTTGGTCAATTTTGGCTTAGAAATGCGACTTTCACCCTCCACCCCTCTCTTCCCATGTTAATAGTTGCAGTCTAACAAATACTATTCAAAGTAGGACTTTTGTTTGTTCATCAATTTTAAATTCTTGCATATAGCCTTTTGCCATAGTCTTTCTCTCTCTAAATAGGTGAAGAGCATTACAATTGCATATCAGCACTTCATAAATCTATGCGAGGCTCAGATGAAAATGCTTCCCTCTACTGGCTTGCCCGGATGCTTGAAGGTGGCGAGGATCCACTGTATGTGGCAAGAAGGCTGGTGAGGTTTGCAAGTGAGGATATAGGTATGTATTAGCGTTATATGTATGGGAATGTTTTAGCCAGTATGACAAGCTCATGACTACTGTACTGCCCTGCTCTTCAACTGGCCTTTGAGGACCCCCCACTCTTTGACAGGCCTCTGGGGGATAGCTCGCCAACTGGTGGGACCAGGATTTTTTGACCTGACATAGGTGGGATGTAAGGTGCAAAAGGTTGAGAACTGCTGAAATAGTTCAACCCACTGCTCAAAGCGGGGCCATCCCCAACTAGATCATCCCAGCCAAGGCTTTGTCCAGTCGGGTCTTAAAAACCTCCAAGGATGGAGATTCCACAATCTCTCAGGGTAGCCTGTCCCAGTCCTTTACTACCTTCCTAGTGAGAGTTTTTCCTAATATCTAACTTAAACTTCCGTTGCTGCAACTTGAGACCACAGAAGTTATACTTTTATTAAATAAACAAGCTCTGAGGTTCTCAAATATCCAAAGTCTTAGAGATTTCCAATTTTCTGATTATTATAGAAGCTAAGCAAACAACTCTTCTTGACTTGAAGAATTTAGCTCTCTCTAGCTGGCACTCAGCTTTGAGGCACATAGATGGCTTATGCACCGTGACTCTACAATACTTATCCAGGACCTGTCAAGGATAAGTTGCCTGAAGTCTTGTTGAATGTGAATTAGTCATCTCCTTATGTTACCCACAGTTCCAGTATCTGAGATTCTGGTATTTGCAACGTAATTCTGAAATATACACATGCAACCTTCCTTTCAGTAGTAGGTGGCCAACTTGGTAATATAATTGACAAAATGCTCTGCTTACAGTGGATCAGGGTGGCCAGTTAGTGGCATGTGGACCCCAGGCTCCTGCCTGACTGCCACTTCTCACTTCTCTCTGGCTGCAAGAGCAGCTAGGGCAGGGGCGGGCAATTATTTCAGGCAGAGGGCCGCTTGCTGAGTTTTGGCAAGCCATTGAGGCCCGCATGACAGGCAGCCAGGGGCAGATAAATATTAATTAAAAAAAAAATTTTAGGGGCCCCGTGGGCCAGATAGAATGGCCTGGTGGGCTGCATCTGACCCGTGGATCACATTTTGCCCACCCCTGAACTAGGGGCTCCAGGCTCCTCCTCCATCCTCTGGTTTTTGCTGCCGACCCCTGCTGCAGGGGGTGAGGTGATAAAGCTGACAGTGAGCCTGGGGCCACACTGGTGCATGGTGGTGGGGGAGAGAATGCTTGTACGTGTGCACAGTGCGGTGGTGGGCGGGGTTGGGTGCAGAAGTGTAGTGGCTGCCCACACAGTGCAGCAGGGGTGTCTCTGCAGCCCAGGAGGCACAGGTCCTGTCTGGTTATGCTGCTGTGGTCCACAGGTATGCAGCCCTGCTGGTGTGGCCCATGGGGCATTTGGCCCCCAACCATTTAGTAGCTAGACACCTCTTTTGTAGATTGTTGATTTTAATGTACCGTCACTTGATCTTGTTGCAGGACTAGCAGATCCTTTGGCATTACCACAGGCTGTTGCTGCTTATCAAGGTTGTCATTTTATTGGCATGCCCGAATGTGAGGTAAAATCCTCATGTGTTTTGGTTGACCAAACATATACACCTGTTTTAACTAGGTTATTTTTTTCCCTGGCACTCTTGATTTCTTTCCTAAATAAACACAGCCACATAGTTTAATATTCTAATGGTATGGACATGTTTACTCTGGAGTAAGTTAATTTTACTCTGTGATAGAAGTGGAGCAGACACATGATTTATTGCCTTACACTGATGTAGTTACTCTACTGCACGGTAAAGTCATTCCTTGAGAGTGAAGAGAAAAGGTACAAGAGTGTAAGTTACAGCGGTGTATCGTTTGTCTGCTCTTACTCAGTTTTATCCATGGAAGAACCTTTTTGCTCACTGTAGACAGGCTGTCTAACTCCTGAAAGCTAGGCCTTTAATAGTACCTGCTGTATTGTTTAGCCCAAGGGTCGGCAACCCCTGGCATGTGTGCTGAGTGTGGCATGTGAGGCCACTTTGCTTGGCACGCCACGGCCAGCCCCAGCTCCGGGAAGCTGCTGCCAGTGACGGAGCCTGGGTTGCTCTGAGCAGGGCTTGCAGCATCCCAGCTGCCTCCTGGGAGCAGCCCGGGATGCCAGCTGGCAGCAGTTCCCCAGAGCCGGGGCTGGCTGCAGCTGGGGAGCTCCC